AAAAGATCTAGGAAGCTCTGCTGATTAAAGCAGAATGATTGATATCTTTTATTGTTCAACTGATATCAAAACAGCTGATGGAAAGCAAAAATATAAGTTTATTATGAATCTGTTGCTGCTAAACTTTTCTGATAGACATGGTTATTGTCTGGTTGTTTCAGTTAATCGAATTAAGTAGAATGTCCCGCATATGTGGAGAATTGTCTTTTAACAGAAATATTTCTGAAATCGGAATGAATGCTTTTTTTGTGTATATTCTTTGTGTGACTATATACAAATAGACTAAATTGTTTTAAACATGATACCTTGCCCTTAATAATCTCATAGTCTAGCAGAAATATAGCAGAGTCATATGTAAGATCTAAATCATGAAAATGAAATGTAGTAAAAGTTCCTTTAAAATCCTTTAAATCATCTATAAAAGTAATTATGTATAATGTATAATTAACATTCTGATATATATTACTTATTTTAAATATAACTTTCCATGAGAAAGGTAAGTGTTTTATAGATGGATTCACAAACCTTACCTATCCATATGATGTGACTACAGTTTACATCCATATAAGTTTGTATTACTTCCTTTAGTGTATCTACTTTTATTTTATTTTATTATTTTTTTAGTGTTTATTTTGAGAGACAGAGAGAAAGAGAGAGAGAGAGAGAGTGCCAGCATGGGGAGAGGCAAAGAGAGAGGAAGAGAGAGAGAATCCTAAGCAGGCTCTGTGCTGTCAGCATAGAACCCAATGCAGGCCTTGATCTCATGAACTGTGAGATCATGACCTGAGCCAAAATCAAGAGTTGGATGCTTAACTGACTGAGCCACCCAGGCGCCCTTAGTGTGTCCACATTTTTCTGTGAGATTTCCAATATTAGCACTTCCTTGCATTCACATTCAAAATTGTGACTCTCCAACTCTCTATTTGTTTGAGCAGACCAGCCATTTGGAGAGGCAGTCTTATGATGGCCATAAAAAAAACTATTCCAGTAATTTCCAGACTGTCTAGTCCTCTTTAATCTCCTGCACAAGACCTGTATTTAGAAGTGTATTTTATATTTCTCTCTAAATTACTACTCCCTAACTTTGTTCCAAGTCTGGATTGCCTTTTGCCTACTATTATAAGTTTCCATACTGATTCAATTTACTGAACACATTGAGTCAAATTAATCATCTTAATGTATAAAAATGCATTCTGACCATATAACTCATTTGCTTAAAACTTTGAATGGCTCCTCTTTTTCCATAGAATTAGATGTAAATGTACTTTGGTATTCATGGCTTGCACAAAGTAACCCCAATTCCATTTTTAATTCTAATTGAATTGACCATTCCCAAACACATCCTATCCTTTTTTTAAAATTTTTTTAATGTTTATTTATTTTTGACAGAGACAGAAGAGAGACAGAGCATGAGCGGGGGAGGGGCAGAGACAGAGGGAGACACAGAATCCGAAGCAGGCGCCAGGCTCTGAGCTGACATCACAGAGCCCAATGCGGGGCTCAAACTCACAGACTTCAGGATCATGACCTGTGCTAAAGTCCGACGCTCAACCGACTGAGCCCCCCAGGCGCCCCAACACATCTTATCCTTTTATTCCACTGTGCTCATGCCATTATTTTTCTCTGGAATGCTCTTTTTTATTTCTATAAAAATTCTATTCATTTTTTAAGGTTCAGCTGAGATATAAGTCCTCAAATTTGATGTAATTTCACCATACCTTACCTTCTATTGCATTTCATTTATTATACTTCTCATGACACTTATAGTATTCTTTATATTAAAGTCATTCATGTATCTTCCTCATCTTCCCTCTCACATTCTTGCCCTCTAGGAAATTATGTTTTACCCATCTTTTTTATTTCCTAAGTACCTAAAACAGCAACGTAGTATAGAAATTAAGTTCAAATTCATGACTTTGGAAAGTTACCTATACTTATTTCAATCATGTTTAATTTGTCAAAAAAGTTTTGAAATTCTTTTACAATTGCTTTAAGGGCCTGTGAGAATTTTTTTGGAAAAAAAGTTAATGTTTATTTATTTTTGAGAGAGAGAGACAGAGACAGAGACAGAGCATGAGTGGGGGAGGGGCAGAGAGAGGGAGAGACAGAATCCCATGCAGGCTCCAGGCTCTGAACTGTCAGCACAGAGCCAGATGCGGTGCTCGAACCCACTAACGCTGAGATCATGACCTGAGCCAAAGTCCACACTTAACTGACTGAGCCACCTAGGTGCCCCCTGTGAGATTTTTAAAAATACTTTCATTGGTGACAAATCTCCATTATTTGAGGTAAAATTTGACTTTGGAAAATAGTTAGAATTTATTCTGAGCCACATTTAGTGAATAATATTGATGTTCAATTTGGGTTATTATATTTTCAGTTAAAACAAACAGAATATGAAATAATGACACAGAGTCTCTGGGTGTCATGAACTGCCAAGAAAAGTTCCCAAAATGTTTTCTTTTTTTTTATTTTTATTTTTTTTTTAAATTTTTTTTTTCAACGTTTATTTATTTTTGGGAGAGAGAGAGACAGAGCATGAACGGGGGAAGGGCAGAGAGAGAGGGAGACACAGAATCGGAAACAGGCTCCAGGCTCTGAGCCATCAGCCCAGAGCCTGACGCGGGGCTCGAACTCACGGACCGCGAGATCGTGACCTGGCTGAAGTCGGACGCTTAACCGACTGCGCCACCCAGGCGCCCCAAAATGTTTTCAACAATGGCAACATCATTGTAATGACTGTATAACTTCCTGTTTTCTACTTTGAAACATATAGTACTCATTTGTATGTGTAAGTTCAAATATATTTGTTAAGTTGGTCTTGTCTCCTTGTCAATTACTTTTATATTTTTCCAAACCAGGGTATTGAAAAATGTGTTTGGAATTTACATATCATTTAAATGATTACTATATTACCCTGCTCATTTGAAATACTATTTTTGTAGCCAGAATGGTGAGGGAAAAACCTTGTCATCACTACTGACCAAACAAAACTTCCCAACTTTGAGAGAAATATGTTTATACCGTATTATTCTTCAAAAAAGCATACAAATTCAGCTGCTATACTTAGCTGTTCCCGAGTTTTACCAGAAACATAAAGAACTGAAAAAAATTGAAATAAACAAAAGAAGGTAGTTAATATAGCATTTGAATATTATGTAACTGGTGCCCCAGAATTATAAAGCAAAAAAGTGAAACTTCATCTCTTCCCAACTCACATGGAATTGATATTTGTATGTTAATGTGTTTATAGTAGTTTTCTATTTTCTTGGTTACATACACTTGACCTAAGCAGAAAACCACATTTTGTATTCTTAAAATGTATAATTCCCATTCATTTATCATGTATATTATATGCATATTTTTTTTATTTCATATGTAACTTTTTAATACTTACTGGTTTATATATATATATTTTTAAATTTATTTTGGGAGAGAGAGCACAAGTGGGGGAGAGAAGCAGAGGGAGAGAGAGAATTTTAAGCAAGTAGCACACCCAGCACACACCCAATGTGGGGCTCAATCTCAAGAACATGAGATCATGACCTGAGACAAAATCACAAATTGGATGCTTAACCAACTGAGCCACCCAGGCGCCCCCTGGGTTTGTTTTTTTGTTTTGTTTTTTGTTTTTTTTTGTTTTTTGTTTTTTCTAGTTCATTTGGTTTAAAATGTTTTCTATAGCAACTTTATATAGACAGTTTGAAATTATCCTCACTAATAGGTGGGAGTATGTGCAAAGAGAATCCAAAATGTTTTGATATCTCTATTTTTTCAAGAGTATATTATGTGGTTATTTTGGTAGACTTACCTCTTTCATTGAGGCTAGCAGCCAAATTACTTTGTAAACATTATATTATATTCCAAGTATTAATGGGAGGACAGGAAGGTGTAAGTTTTGAAGAATTTTTTCCATCGAAATTTTCATTATCACTCAGTTTACCTTTAAAAATCAATTATTTGAAACTTCATGATCCTCAAACATTGTATTTAAGTGCCATATTACTGTAATGGGGTTTTGACTAAAATAAAATTATTTTTAATTTTTTCTTAAAAGTATTATTTGGAGTTTATAACATTAATTTTGTTAGCCTATCCCTAGCATAGTGTTATATTTTGAACTCAAAATAAAATTTCATGTTTAGTGGCCAGGGACAGTAATAATTTACCTAAATTTTGAATAATTAAGGATATTACTTTACTATTTGCATTAACTGTTTGATTATCACTCCTTATCAGTAAGCATAATACTAATTCACAAGTCATCACTGAATGTAATTTATCAAAAACAATAAGTGTTCGAATACCATATTCTCATCATCACCATTTGGCAAGCCTGATTTGACTTGTCAGTGTCTCAGGAGGTATGTGGGAGGGAAGGAGAAGGCAAGTGGAGAATTTGGAATTATCCTCCAAAACTTGTGTATTTCAGGAAAATGTATGGTGACGTCTAGGCTACTCTGTGCTATAGCCCACAGGTCCACCTTGGTCTCTGTAAACAGTCCCTGGAATCCTACTGGAGTAGTACCTATCTCCTTGCGTGCCAATGTCGATGTAATAAGGTGTTGCTGCCTATTCATCTTAGTAGTCTCTGCTTAAAAAGGAGCTTGTAGTTATGTAGGATAAGTCTAGAGAACTAATACATAGAATGATGACTATAGTTAATAATTTAATTAATATAACATATATTCCACAGAGTACTGCATTTTTATTACAATAATTTTCTTGTTCACAGACTTGTAAACCATACTTCCAGGCCCCAACAGTGCCTAGGGATTTTCTTGAATTTCCAGGGGAAATTACACTGCTTCTAAAATTTTCTTACAAATGAAAGCCCTTTAATTCTGTTGTGTTCAGTAAGGAAATGGCAAAGTCTATGTGGGGGATATGCTCTGAATGCAGACCTATGTTGACATCTTGTATGAAATCATTGGTGTTGATCAGCATTCCAAGTAGTGTCAATGCATACCTTACTGAAATTCCATTTATTGTTTCCACAGATTTCAGGAAACCTTACTGTGCCTTGGATTACAGGGTGTTCTAGAAAAAGAGCAGTAAGTAATCCTTCATTTAAAGCAACGTTTGTTTCCCTTCTATGTTGTTAGTAAGAATGCCATTGAGAAAATTGTCATGATATTTGTAAAGTTGGCAAAATTGAACCTCGAAAAGACTGCATTATCTAAAATGACATATTTTGAGATCATAATATTTATATATATTACTAATGTAACCCTAAATAAAATGCAGTAATCAACACACCATTTAGTCTTTGAGCAGGTTTTTTCAGTTAAAAAAAAAAACACATTCAAACGGGGCGCCTGGGTGGCTCGGTCAGTTACGTGTCGAACTTCGGCTCAAGCCATGATCTCTCCATTAGGGGGTTTGAGTGCTGCATCGAACTCTGTGCTGACAGCTCAGAGCCTGGAGTGTGTTTCAGATTCTATGTCTCTTTCTTTTTCTGCCCCTCCCATAGTTGTGCTCTGTCTCTCTCTCTCAAAAATACACATTAAAAAATATATAAATAAATACATTAAAATTAAAAAAAACTCAAAGGTAATTAATGGGATGGATGAAATAAATAAAGTGGATTAAGAGGTACAGTTATCATGATGAACACTGAGTAATTATAGAATTTTTTAATCATTATATTGCACACCTGAAACTAATATAACACTATATTAATTATAAGTCAACAAAAAGACAATCAATAAAATATGTTTTTACATATAATTAGCCCAGTTAACTTGATCATATAATTGAATCATGATTGATATAAATATTTCAATCAAAATTAAGTAGTTTATATTATTATTTGTTATTGGTGCATTTTAGTATTTTGAAGTAATGAGTAAGTAGTATTTTAACAGTCTTATTTTGTTTTTCTGACTTTCTGTGACAACTGTTGTGACTTTTTTAATATGAAATTTACTGTTAAATTGGTTTCCATACAACACCCAGTGCTCATCCCAACAGGTAGTCTCCTCAATGCCCATCACCCACTTTCCCCTCCTTCCCACCCCAAATCAACCCTCACTTTATTTTCAGTTTTTAAGAGTTTCTCATGGTTTGCCTCCTTCCCTCTCCATAACTATACTTCCCCCTTCACCTCCCACATGGTCTTCTGGTAAGTTTCTCAGGATCCACATAAGAGCGAAAACATATGGTTTCTGTCTTTCTCTGTATGACTTATTTCACTCAGCTTAACAGTCTCCGGTTCCATCCACGTTGCTACAAAAGGCCATATTTCATTCGTTCTCATTGCCAAGTAGTATTCCATTGTATATATAAACGACAACTTCTTTATCCATTCATCAATTGATGGACATTTAAGTCCTTTCCATAATTAGGCTATTGTTGAAAGTGCTGCTGTAAACATTGGAGAACAAGTGCCCCTATGCATCAGCACTCCTGTATTCCTTGGGTACATTCCTAGCAGTGCTATTGCTGGGTCATAGGGGAGATCTATTTTTAATTTTTTGAGGAACCTCCACACTGTTTTCCAGAGCGGCTGCACCAGTTTGCATTCCCACCAACAGTGCAAGAGGGTTCCCGTTTCTCCATATCCTCTCCAGCAGGTATACTCTCCTGATTTGTTCATTTGGGCCACTCTGGCGTGAGGTGATATCTCAGTGTGGTTTTGATTTGTATTTCCCTGATGAGGAGGGGCGTTCAGCATCTTTTCATGTGCCTGTTGGCCATCCGGATGTCTTCTTTAGAGAAGTGTCTATTCATGTTTTCTGCCCATTTCTTCACTGGATTATTTGTTTTTCGGGTGTTGAGTTTGGTAAGTTCTTTACAGATTTTGGATACTAACTCTTTACCCAATATGTCATCTGCAAGTATCTTTTCCCATTCCATCCATTGCTTTTAGTTTTGTTGATTGTTTCCTTTGCAGTGCAGAAGGTTTTATCTTCCTGAGGTCCCAGTAGTTCATTTTTGCTTTTAATTCCATTGCCTTTGGAGATGTGTCAAGTAAGAAATTGCTGTGGCTGAGGTCAGAGGTTTTTTCCTGCTTTCTCCTCTAGAGTTTTGATGGTTTCCTGTCTCACATTCAGGTCCTTCATCCATTTTGAGTTTATTTTTGTGAATGGTGTAAGAAAGTGCTCTAGTTTCATTCTTCTGCATGTTGATGCCCAGTTCTCCTAACACCATTTGTTAAAGAGACTGTCTTTTTTCCTTTGGATATTCATTCCTGCTTTGTCAAAAATTAGTTGGCCATACTTTTGTGGGTCCAATTGTGGAGTCTCTATTCTATTCCATTGGTCTATGTGTCTGGTTTTGTGCCAATACCATGCTGTCTGGATGATTACAGCTCCTGCTTTGGTCTTCTTCAATATTACTTCAGCTATTGGGGATCTTTTTTTTCGTTCCATACAAATTTTAGGATTGCTTGTTCTAGCTTCAAGAAGAATTCTGGTGCAATTTTGACTGGAATTGCATTGAATGTGTAGATGGCTTTGGGTAATATTGACATTTTAACAATATTTATTCTTACAATCCATGAGCATGGAAAGTTTTCCCATTTCTTTGTATCTTCTTCAATTTCCTTCATAAACTTTCTATAGTCTTCAGAATACAAATCTTTTACATCTTTGGTTAGGTGTATTCCTAGGTATTTTATGCTTCTTGGTGTGATTGTGAATGGGATCAGTTTCTTTATTTGTCTTTCTTTTGCTTCATTATTAGTGTATAAGAATGCAACTGATTTCTGTACATTAATTTTGTATCCTGTGACTTTGCTGAATTCATGTATCAGTTCTCGTAGACTTTTGGTGGAGTCTGTCAGGTTTTCCATGTATAATATCAT